TTAATTTTACTTATTATTTGCTTTGTCGCCTCAAGGGTTTTGCCGTAGTTTCCTCTTTCTCGGCTTTGTTAAAGAAAACTTGTTAAACTACAAGAGGGACGATTCCAAATCCATGGATTTTGTTCTGATCGACCAGTCAACGGTAGCTTTTTAATCCCTGAATATAGATCTATTCATTTGTTGGTATTCATTACCTTTAAGTATTAATGTCATTGTTTGAAAAGCAATCTACCTAATGTTGCACATGGGCAACTTTTTCGCTCATTAGTTGCTTATTTATTTGTTGGATGATGTTATTTGGTATTTAAGTCGAGCAATTAATAGTCTTTTTTATTAGGTATATTGCATGACAAAATTAATATTTATCTAGTCGATGATTAAGAAACACTAAATATTTAATTTGTTTTTTAAGCTAATACATTTTTTACGCCAAATAGTTAACTGATACGTATTGTTGAAGTCCTGAATAGGAATATATTACATCTGTTCTATTCCATAACATCAAGCGCCGTCACTGTTTGAGAAACAATCCGCCTGATGTTGCATATGAACAACTTTTTCGCTCGTTACTTGCTTATTTATTTGTTAGATTTTTTTATCTGGTAACTTAGTCGAGAATTAATCGTTTAATTATGCATATTTCATTACGGAATTAATAATTATCGTGAGGATGCAAAGGAAAAAACTTTGTTTAAAAAAATTAAGCTAATTTAATTAATTAAAAATTAAGCTGTTACGTTTTGATAAAGCTTTGAACATGGATATATAATTTTTACCATTTAATAAGACTAATCTTTGTGGCAATGCTTGAAGATCTACTTATCGATGGCTACACATGAGCAACTTTTTCACGTTTTGATTTGCCTATTTATTTTTGTTTATTACGTTGTTATCTTTTAATAAAAGCTGGCAATTTGTTTCGTTGTGAGTCTTTGATCATTTGATAAGGTATATTTTATAAAAAAAAGACTAACATTAATCTCGTCGATGAAAAGAAAAAGCTACATATTTAATGTGGCTTATTTATTTTTTGTTCTAACTCTGTGTTGTATTTTTGCTAAACAGTTAACTGTTACGTACTATTAAGGCCTAATTGATATTTTTTTTCCCCTTTTTGCTTTATAATAACACTAAACTTTATGTTATTGCTTAAAAATCATTTAACCTAATGTTGCACATGAGAGCCGCGATGGGTCAGGGATAGAGCGTTCGCCTTCCAATGCAGCGAACCGGATTCGAATCCCGGTAGATGTGAATTCCGCATCCGGCCTGCACCGACCACAGTGCTGACGTGAAATATCCTCAGTGGTAGACGGATCATGGGTTAGAGTCCCCTTGCCGTCAGGCTAACCGTGGGAGGTTCTCGTGGTCTTCATCTTCATGTAATGGAAATATGGGCTAGCTCCATCAAAAAGTCCCCCACGAAGGCAAATGTTTCTCCCAATACTCGATCCAGGAGTTCCCTTGTCTTCTGGATTGGGTTCAAAATTACAAGGCTACGGAGTTGAACATTAGTTGTCGTAAACCCAAAATTGTATCGGCTGTTCAACCACAGTTACAAAATGTTACACATGAGCAATTTGTTCGCTACTTGATTTCCTTCTTTTTTTTTTTTTGTTGGTTGGTGTTATCTGATATTTAGATCTACCTTTTAATTGTGCTGTTCACCAGTTGATAAATACCTTGCAGTCTTAATTTAGAACAAAATTATTAATTACTTTTGAGTGGAAAAACTCATTAACAGTGCTTCATAGCCAGTGAATTTGTAACTAATTTTTGTAATTGATTTGTGACTGTTATGCATTGTAATTGAGTTGCTGACAAGTTACAAAATACCATGTTTTGTTGATGTATGTTTTTTTTTGTGCTCTGTCATCAGCCTTTCAATTTTAAGCGACAATATGCAGCACCATTTATAAATTCAAATAATAACTTCGTAAACCAGTTTTTATTTCGATGAAATTACAAAATTATTTTAACTAAATACTTAACGTATAACTATCTACTCACCACTACTTAAGTTATTACTCAAAACGATCCAACAAAATGAATCTAAATAAATACTTACTGTATAACTAATTTTTTAACACGTTGAATGGCATGGGAGTCACCGGTGACCGACACTGAGTTTGTTGTAGAGCCAGGGGGGTCACCGGCGAAGCCGAGATTATTAGAAACACATAATTCGAGTAAATTTGTGATATTTTTGTATTATTATCGTTACTTAAATGGTTTGAAGAAATTAATGCAATATAGAACATACAAAAATAGCTTTATTTATATACTCAGAGATGCCAACTTGATCCGGACAGCGAATAAACATTTTCAAATGGTAGTTTATTAATTGTGATCCTTGGTTTAATAAATTCAATTTAGTAGAATTTTAGCCACCACTATTTCTTAACAATTCGTAGGCTTATATAATTCACCACTTTTTTCAGATATTTCATACTAAATCTTTTAAAAAACTAGCAAAATCTGTCAAATTTGCGAATTTAGTTTGTAGTCATTTACCATTTGGCCAGACGGGCAAGCCATTTAAAAGTAGAGCGGCATTCAACGTGTTAACACTACTTAAATTATTATTTAGGACAACCTAACAAAACTAATAGTAATTATAGTGTTGCAAATAGATAGAGAAATACCCGAGTTTAGGGTGCCCCATAAGTGAAATCTATAGATTACATTTTGTGCAAGGAAAATTCACTTCATGAGTCAAAAATTCTTTTTACACATCAATGAAAATTTCTTAAATTCAAATTTAAATGGGAATAAGTTTGTATCTTTTATCTTTAATGATGATGATTTAATTTCAAACTGGCACAATACTTTGAACTAAGCAACTAATGGATTATAGAGAAAATAACCTATGGAAAAATCAGCTTAACATTTAAATTTTATTTGAGTACTTAGCTGTAAAATGAACCGTAATATCATTTAATCAAGTTTAAGAAGTACTACAATTTCGTTTAGCACTTTATTAACATTGCACCAAATTTGAATTCTTCGAGATTTCTAAGACTGAAACAAATGTTTTCTTTTACTTAGAATGCACCCGAAAGTAACATTTTATAGCTTCTGTGTAGAAAGTGTAACCATAAACAACTCTCAAAAACCCTGAGAAAAAACACAAATCTTTTCCAAAATGTAAAATAAACATTTTCCTTTTCAACAACAGCATCGACTAAGAAAACGTTTTTCAAACAAGAGGCTGTACACAGGAACCTATACAGGAAGGATTTCACGAACCACTAAACGAGATGAATCCTATAATTCGGAAAAAAAATCTCTCGTTCTGAAATGTTTGTGTGTGATGGTGCGTGCTCTTAGTTCGTTGTACCAAATGCGGAATTTATAAAGTTGTCGAGTGGAGAAAAATAAATAAATTATGCTCTAGAAAAATCTTTTCCCACACGAGCATATTTTGTGTAAACTCTGGAGCAATATTATAGATTCCGAAACGGTTGGTGAATTCCAGTAATTGCGATGTGTCTTTCTTCTTCGGAGTATACGATAAGACCTAACTAAGCGTATCTTTTCATAGTTATTTTAACTTAAGATGAGTTATAGTTTATGTAATATTTTTAAATGATGCTCCATCGAATTTTAAATTTCCGCTCCCTTCCGTAAATTATATGTTATTTGTTTTACCTTTAAGCATGTGGTTATCACTAAACATAGATGTTAAGCATTAGTGTATCTTAAAAAAACTGTTATTAACTCTCGTTATATACACTAATGTTTTATGGTAATATAAAAGAATGTCTTTATGTTTTGCCGCTTTAAAAGTTTTTTTTTATTTCTTTGAAATATCAAAAATAGCAATAATAACTATCATGTTAAGTTATTTATGCAAAATGCTTTTTGTGTTCTATTCTTAAGGCTGATTTACATTTAAAAAAAAAAAACAGAAATTGCATAAAATAAAAACACCAATTGTATAAAATAAAAATACAAATTGTATTCTGTAAACTCGAAGTAAAGCTTTAATAATTTTTTTATCATTATAGATTGCACTAGTTAGAGATAAACAAAGTTTAAAATAATAATAATTAATAATTGTTTTGAACTTCCAACAATCACAAAAACAACATTTTTTTCAATGAAACATAACAATATGCCCTCATATTTTTTAAAATTCTTTTTTCTCAATCAACTGTTTCTAGTATACTTTTTCTATTTCTTCGTTAATTCTGGTTGTGGATTCATTTTGCTTTATTGTTTGAGTTTATTACTTTGAATTGCTGTTTGACGTAGTATAGCCACTCTTGACTATTTTTCAATTAAACTCTACATCTATACGATTCAACTGAAGAGCTGCTCCGAATATTGAAAGTATGACCCCCCCCCCCAAATAGATGTAACAAAAGCAATTGCCTCTGAATAATTTTTAAATGGGAAGAGGCGTAGTTTTGTTTTACTTATATTCACATACTTAAATTTTATCAAATTATGCTTATTCATTTTTTTAAGTAATAGAAATTCAGCTGTGGTAACACAGAGGATAAAGCACTCATCTCCCAATGAAGTGACTCAGGTACGAATCTCAGCTATGGCAATCTGTGCGAATTCTGCTCCGACCACAGCGCGGACATGATACATTCTCCGTTGTAGACGGTTCATGACTTTGAATCCCTTTTCTGTCAGGCTAACCGTGGAAGGTTTTAATGACTTTCCTCACTATGAAATGTAAGTGCAGGTTGTTCCATAATAAGTCCTCCATAAAGGCGAGTTGTTCGGTCCAATGTCTACCCCTTGTCTTCTGAGTTGGGTTCAAAATCACGAGGCTACGAAGTAGAACAGTGATATTCAAAGAACCGAAAATGCGTCGGCTGTTTCAAGCCGGTAATGAAATCAATTAAAGTAATAACCTCTAAAAAAGTATTTAGTTTTTACTCTGATAATTTGTAAGTTACGCAATCAATTTTTCTGCAAAAAAATATTATTTTAAACAAATTCAAGAGCTTTTTTTTTCCTAATATATCCTTTTAATTTTGCAGGAGCGACGTGATTTGGTAAGCGGCCATGCGGCAAGCCTTGGTCCGATTACCAGCATCGGCTCTGTGGGCTCAACAGCTACTTTCAGCAGCACACCTCGCCTAACGCACACACCGACATCTGCTGATTTTCAACCTCCCTATTTCCCACCTCCATACAACCTACCTCAACAACAGTTGGACTTTCACCATGCTGCGCATGCGGTCAATCCGGCTGACCCATATGGACACTTAAACAGTCTCGCAGCCCAACATCCCCAACACCAATACCATCAACTGCATCCACCAACGCAAAGATCACATAATGTTCGACGTGACGATGACCCATTGCATCCTTTGCAAACGGGGATGCATCCTGGCCTCTCTGCCACGTACGCGGATTCTGTCCGAAGTAGGGGCGATCCAACGTATGCGGCTGTACGAAGGCCGGACGTTCTGGTGCATGGAGGACACCATGGTCTTAGTGAACAAGACTTGCTCAATCTTCACAACGCCACCTTACCATCCATAGATGACGGACAAGTAAGTCAATTATTTACAATTTATGTGTTGCAAGATAGACACAATACAATATTAAGAGTCATATGTTAGGCTTATGCGAGAAAACTGATACAATAATACTAAGTTATGGATCATATGTTAAATGGATAGGTGAAAACTGATACCATACTGCTATGTTAAGAGTCATATGTTAGACTTATACGAGAAAACTGATACAATACTAAGTTATGGATCATATGTAAAATGGATAAGTGAAAACTGATACCATACTGCTTTGTTATGAGTCATATGTTAGATTTATACATGAAAAATGATACTATAATATTATATTAAGGATCATATGTTAGTGTGATACGTGAAAACTAATACTATAAATCTATGTTATAAGTCATATGTTAGACTGATACGTAAAGACTGATGCCAGATTTCATTATTTAATCATAACATGATATCAGTCTTTACATTTCGTTACATTTAGGCAACAGCCTCTTCACACTACTACACTGAATAGGATTATGTCTTGCCTTTATTTCTCGTTTGCAAGCTTCCTATTGACAAAGTCTATAAATCTCTATCACTCATTTAAACTCTTACATACATACATACATACATACATACATACACAAAAAAACTTACAAATACATTTGCATTCTAAGTGTTCTTTTATTCTATAGTCAAAAGACAGTTTTCTACGTTCACTTGTCGACTGCTTATTATCCAATACAATTGGAACATTTAACCACTCCGAAAACTCTAAAAGATTGTCCCTCAGTATCGTTATCCACCGAAATGTGTGAAATTTAAATATTTAACAAAATAAATCAATCAGTACATTTAATTAAGTGTAAAATAAGATACTTTCCTAAGTAATGTCATTTTAGAAGCACCTTCCACTAAGCTTTTAAATTACAAGCTTCTTAAGCCTTTGTTTAAAACTAAGGTTGACAGTAATTCCTCATGGTGTCGCAGAATTTTTTCTATAAAATTTCCAATAAACGTTCAGGTCAGTCCCTAAGGTTTTGTTTTATATTAAATTTAAATAACACAATGACTTGATAGTTATGGCCGGGATAGCCTGGTTGATAGGGCACTGGGCCCATATCTGAGAGTTCGTGGGTTCGATCCCCGCCGGCTGAAGACTCCCCGTGTAGTAAATGGTGACTGATGCACGTTAAATCTGTCTAGTCGCAAAGACCTCCATGTCGCATTCCCATAACAAATCAATACCTCTGGGGGTACTGATCCAGGAGTTTCCTTGTCTTCTGAATTGGTTCAAAATTACAAGGTTACGGAGTTGAACATTAGTAGTCGTGAACTCTTAGTAGTCGGCTGTTCAACGACGGGTATAAAAAATTTTTTAAAAAAAAACTTGATAGTGTAGAACATTAACAACTTACTCCATTTTATTTTAACCATTTATTTTGAACATACTCTATTTTATTTGAACTAATTACTCCATTTTAAAATGCAACGTGAGGCCATTCGAATATCTTGATGGAATATTTCGGGTTAATTTGGACCCCCCCCCCCCNCCCCCCACACTCGTGTACGAATCGTAAACTGATCCATCTTATGATAATCTAAGAATTGCTTCAAAATTATTTATTTTTGAAAATTACAATATCAAACATTCTTATGATTTGAAATCGAAAGAAAACCACCTTGCTTTTTACCTATTAAATTACTTACTTATCAGTTATCTCACATTATTTATCATTATTTTCCACACAAAAAAAATATATGAAATCGATTAATGTAACTTTTTTTAGTTGATTATAGAAAACAGTTATTTTATTTTTGTTCATTGTTTCATAAAGTTTGTATTATTATTGTTTCTGTCAACATTTCGAAATAACAATAATAATAACATGATTCATTTGTTTACGCTATCATTTCCGTGTTTCAAATTATTGTACAAACTAAACATTTTTTTTTGAAAAAAATACCGAATGTGTTTAAAAGAAGGTTAAGGCCTGTTTCCGCTTTAAAAATAAATATTCTTAAACAAACCTACACAGATGAAGCACACAAGACCAAATAGTTACAACAACAATCTGAGGAATTCGATTGTAAAATGTTTTCGGTTTTTTAAACATTCAATGAATTCATAAAAAAGAAGATCCAATCTATGCGAATT